CTTACTAGCTAGGTGAAATTGAAACAAGGACCAGGGTCTTACTAGCTAGGTGAAATTAAAACAAGGAGCAAGGTCTTACTAGCTAGGTTAAATTAAAACAAGGACCAGGGTCTTACTAGCTAGGTGAAGTTAAAACAAGGATCAGGGTCTTACTAGCTAGGTGAAATTAAAACAAGGACCAAGGTCTTACTAGCTAGGTGAAATTAAAACAAGGGCCAGGGTCTTACTAACTAGGTGAAGTTAAAACAAGGACCAGGGTCTTACTAGCTAAGTGAAATTAAAACAAGGACCAGGGTTTTACTAGCTAGGTGAAATTAAAACAAGGACCCAAGTCTTACTAGCTAGGTGAAATTAAAACAAGGACCAGGGTCTTACTAGCTAGGTGAAATTAGAACAAGGAGCAAGGTCTTACTAACTAGGTGAAATTAAAACAAGGACCAGGGTCTAACTAGCTAGGTGAAGTTAAAACAAGGACCAGGGTCTTACTAGCTAGGTGAAATTAAAACAAGGAGCAAGGTCTTACTAGCTAGGTGAAATTAAAACAAGGACCAGGGTCTTACTATCTAGGTGAAATTAAAACAAGGACCAGGGTTTTACTAGCTAGGTGAAGTTATAACAAGGACCAGGGTCTTACTAGCTAGGTGAAATTAAAACAAGGACCAAGGTCTTACTAGCTAGGTGAAGTTATAACAAGGACCAGGGTCTTACTAGCTAGGTGAAATTAAAACAAGGGCCAGGGTCTTACTAGCTAGGTGAAATTAAAACAGAGACTAGGGTCTTACTAGCTAGGTGAAATTAAAACAAGGACCAAGGTCTTACTAGCTAGATGAAATTAAAACAGAGACTAGGGTCTTACTAGCTAGGTGAAATTAAAACAAGGACCAAGGTCTTACTAGCTAGGTGAAGTTATAACAAGGACCAGGGTCTTACTAGCTAGGTGAAATTAAAACAGGGGCCAGAAGTCTTACTAGCTAGGTGAAGTTAAAACATGGACCAGGGTCTTACTAGCTAGGTGAAGTTAAAACAAGGACCAAGGTCTTACTAGCTAGGTGAAATTGAAACATGGACCAGAGTCTTACTAGATAGGTGAAATTAAAACAGGGACCAGGGTCTTACTAGCTAGGTGAAATTAAAACATGGACCAGAGTCTTACTAGCTAGGTGAAATTAAAACAGGGACCAGGGTCTTACTAGCTAGGTGAAATTGAAACAGAGACCAGGGTCTTACTGGCTTGGTGAAATTAAAACAGGGACCAGGGTCTTACTAGCTATACTTATCTTGTATAGTGAAGAAAAGACCAATGGAGATATTTCGGGAACTAGTCTGTCAACTGGTAGGGGACAAAAAATGTCATCTACCAACCAAACAATCCTCATCTGCCTGTCATAACGTTCTGTCTAACGTACTAAACCACAATGATTTAATTGTGGTAAATACAGTTTGACTTTAACAGTTATTTCCCATAAAATCACTATGTTTAGATCAAGCAAAATAAAACCTTCTGCACATGTCCACATACTTTCCCAGACGCTAAGAAACCATTCACGAGAAAACACCGGCCTTGTATGAATTATAATAGGAAACTACAAATTTGATGTGTTAAACGATTCCTCGGTGGCCAAGTAAATTTATAGAAACTATATAAAGGGTTTAGATATAGTTTCACGCATAATTAGCGTAATTCTTTACATTGAAAATAAACTGGTCTAGCCCTTTAACAGTTATCTCCCTTAAATTCAGTATGTTTAGATCAAGCAAAACGAAACAAAACCATTGTCTGCAATACCAGTTTACCAACAAACCCAAATATTATTTGCTCTCTTCCACATTTTCGTGTCACCATATAGAGTAATGTATGAATGTAATGCTGTATCACCTTATGTTGTTGTATAATAAAAGAAGTGTAATAAAAGTAGTGTGTCATATTTGTGTTCTGTTATTAAATGTTATCTCTTCCCCTATGTATACCATAATTGTGATATTTAACTCCTGTTTAAAGGGACAGCTTCACCATTCATTTGACCAATTGAACTTTAGTCTCAGTAATACTGTTCACAGCTCACTGTCAAAATTTGAGCCTTTAAATCCATATATGTACAGAATTATCTAGTTTGAAAGTTAAGATGACGCCTCATCATGCCACATAATATACAAATTCAAAAGTGAAATTCCTTGTATGAGGTATTTTTGAAGGAATTATGAGATTATTGTACATTTCTAGTACTTCTAAAGACTATTTACATATATTCAAGACCCAAATCAACATCCGAAAATGGCAAATCTGTCCCTTTAAGGACTGTCAGTTCTCTGCTTGTTAATGGAGGATTTGATAGGTATCCTTCACATGATTAGAATATTAGCTGTAATAAGTATATGTAATATGTATAATAATTATGGTCTAGCTAATCTTCAAATGATGTTAAATAAAATAAAAGATTGTGATTATGGCATAGGACAATTTCAAATTCAAAATCTAACCTGTTGCCGGAAATTTTGAATCTTTCTGTCCAAAACGACATTTTCATCTTTTATTTTCTTCAAGTCTGTTTCTAGATTAGCAATTCTCGTGTCTGCAACTTGTAATAAATCAGCCACGTATGGATCATCTGGAGGAGGGATGCTGCTCAGATTCGATATGTCAGATTCAGGAAGTTGGGTGTCTATTTCCATACGCTGACGACGGAAAGGAATTGTTTTCTTTCTTCCTCCTGAAAATTTTAAATTTGAGATAAAATGGAGTTTTACTTCTATTGTCCTTATAAAACTACTGAAGATGTCAAATTATTCAATGAAAGAAAATTTTGCCAGTGGTATATGTCTCATAATGGGCATGCTAAAGATCCCTCTACAGATGAAAATTACAGACTTACATGAGTACTCTATTGCCCTTGTCAACAAAATTGAGGTGTATTTTGTGACCTTATAGACCTTATTCACTCCTGGTTTTGGAACCATAGAATGCAGGGCTCATAACGCAGATTACAACATCAATTCAAAAGATGGTCACATTATATGAAAGAATAACCTTTGTTATTAAACACTTGGTCTAGAGCGAGAATATGGACTTAATACTGCTTTTCTCAGAAATGTGTGAATGATATGAAATATGATTAGTTTTGAGTTCGTGTGATAGGAGAAATACATCAAGGTGGCGATTTCACTATAGCGATACAATGTCACCTTTTTTGTTTTTGTTACAAGCGTTCTTTCCGGATTAATATATCTGACGTGTGAATAAGGTCTATTCCACCAACAAATTCTCACCTGGAGTTTGAACAACAGCATGGAAATTTTTTTCTTGCAACTGAACAATTCTGTCTGATTTTTCTTTTGATTCTTTCTCCAGAGTTTTTACTTTATGAACATATTGATTGTTTAAAAACTTCAAATCTGCATTCTCATGCTCATATTTCCGTAACAGTGCTTTGAATTCTGGAGAAAAAAACAGACAACAATGGATTAATATCGACATACAACTACTAAAAGTTCCACTTGAGTGAGGCCTTTGAGGGTCTCCTCAGAAGAAGTGAAGTAGAAGCTTAACTGAACAATTAATAATTTCCACGACCAAGATCTGATTGGCCTCCAAAAAAGGTGACCCATGATGGGCATTTAAAATTCATGTTCACATTTGGGTTCAGTGCTTAAAATTCTAGAGAAAAAAAAAGGAAACAACAACAATATCAACATATAAACTTAACTACTGAATTGAAAATTCAATCTGAATGAGAGTCTCCTCAGAAGTAAAAACTTAGTTCAGGCCAAAATCTGAATGACCCCTATCTTCACAAGCTATTATGAACTGAGTCTTATACCTCAACTGCAATAGCCATCTTTGTTGTATATCGCAGAATGCAGCGATTTGATTGGATTGTACCCAATATATACAGCCAATCACAACTCTTAACAAAAAAGATATTGGTACCGGTACCAGTAGTTAACATTAATTATGGTTTATTGTTTACTGACTTTGTGTCAAGGGCTCTGATTGGCTGTATTCTCAGCTAGTTAATCAAATCAAATCATTTCATTTTGTGATACAAGAACAGTAGTGGCTATTGCAGTCAAGATATAAAACAAAGTTTTTGTACAATTATATTATAGATGATATCGTGTCAAATATACGGGATGATAATGGTGTCTGTGATGTGCCAAGTCTGACTTCAAATTTTTCGTTAACAAGGGGTGCGCATTATACACAGGTAAATGGATTTTTCCCGATTTTAATGGGAAAAGGAAGGGGTGCGCATTAAACACCGGTGCGCATTATATTCGGATATATACGGTAATTTAGCTTTTGATGATGACATCACAGTGGTTGAAAGTACCGGTACTTATAAACTTAAGATTTACCTCTTATAGCACTGTCAGCATCTTCCTTCTGTTTCACCAGTTGAAGATGAACTTCATTATTTTCTTTCACTAGTTTTGCATTATCACTTTTATACGGTTCCACAGCAGAGTCCACTTCCTGGGTCTGAACATGTTTTTTGTTATTTTCTAACTTGGAATTCTTTAAACTCTCAGTCGTGTGAATCAAATCGGCAAAAAGTTTTTCAACCAATGGAAGAGATTCTATTCCTAAAGGTTGTCGATAACCCAATTGATCTAGTCGTCTTCGTAAGTTTGTAAACTTCTGCTGTGCTTGGCCTGGTTGATTAGTCGACATCTCTAAAGAAATAAAAAGAATAGAATAGTGTTATTATTGGTAGTTCACAAACCTTGTATGCACTTACTGGTTTACATTAACATAGTGTGCTTTAGCCACTACCATATTTTTCTGAGAAACTTCGATATTTTTTTTCTTGATTTTTGATATTTTAAATTAACATTTCTCGTAAACTTGGATGATGCTCAAAATGTAACTCCATGATCATGATCTACAAAGCCAATGACAGGCTATATCTATCCTACTTTACTTCCTCGTGTGAAAATTTCATTAGATGCTACCAATGTTTGCTAAAATATCGTTTTGGATTTTTGGTTTCATTAGTAGTCTAGTTAGTAGTCTACTTGGTTAAATATTTATTTACCCAAACCCTAATCTTATATGATTTATGGATGATAGTTATTAGGCATATTGAAACAGACCTCCTCTTTTCTGCTCGCATTTCAACCTGAATGAAGGTTTTCAACATCTTCATCCAAATCATCAACAACAGATTTTCTGACTCAAGATTCAAGAAATAAGAATGAAATCTGTGAGTGAGGTGAGTGGGAGTTTGAAACAGAACGGACGAAGGTAAAGAGAAAACAATTTTAATGAAACTGAAGCGAACATATATTTAACTAACCGAGGCCACTAGAAGTTAAAAAGTTCCAAATAAACCTAAATAAAATCTAAGGCTATATTTTCATCATTATAAATGGTGTCACGATGTTTATTATTCGTCTGTTTTCATGTCACAACAAGAAGTTTGAAAATGGCGGAAATGGATTATGCTCGACGATTTGTGGTTTCCATTAAAGAAGAGTTCTTATTATCACGTGACCATCGTCTGCTTGTTAAAGGAGATATTTCACTTACGAATTTTTCATGACTACTGTTCATACTTCTGCCTTTCATATCAAAGGAAATACAATGCCCCACAAAGTGGCAACTATCGAAATGAAAAGCTAAGGGTAGCCTGACTTGATAGCTACAATCGTACGAACAATGATGAATTTCCGACTACCCCATCCGCTTTATAGGATAGGCCTAGTTTTTGGCATAACCTTGCTTTCAATCTCCATGAGTTTCTGTGCCTGTTCCGGAGTGGGAATGCTTACGTTGAGTTTTGCCTTGTCCTTGGCGTATTTGGTGGTTATTAAAACAATAGGCCCACCCGTCATTTGACACTTAGCCTAATGATTGTTCGAGATATAATCTCGAGTGGCAAGCTTATAAGCTACACATTGGCCGTATAGCATGTTCAATGACTATATAGGATCTATAGCCTTAACTAGAATTACAATTTAAAGTTGGAATGTATTCTATCTAAGAATCTATGGTTTTATTTGATATAATTTAAAGTCATTCTGCATAGTTCTAGCCCCATACATGCTATATGCCTAGGCCTACATTAAAACTAATCTCACACATGGCCAAAAGCTTAAGCCTAGGCTAGGCTACATGCCTGGGCCTAGATGATAAACTTAAACTAATCAGCATAAATCAACTTCAAAATCATTTGCTGTGTGTTGAATTCATTTTACAAACGCCTATTCTGTATCATCTTCACAACGTCATAGCATATAGTAAGATCTCCGTTTAATTCGTAATTGCAAAGATGATTAAATGTAATGGGATATAACAGGCCTACATTGTACTTTTGTATAGTGTTGATACAGTATAAGTATATCATTGACTATCATATCATTGATGCATTTTTTGTTGAAATGGAAGTCTGCAATAAAGCTGGACTGTGGTCTATTGTTTACTAGAGACAAAATGAGAATGAACCCCTATCTCTTCCAAATGAGATTAAATCAGTCCAACGTCGATTAAAAAATAGGTAGGGTAGGCCAACATCCCAACTTTAAAAGATCGATCAACTTGAAACGAGGATAAACAATAAACCCAGAGCGTAATTAACAATAGGTATTTTAGTATTCTATAATATTAAATTACTATACATGTTTTATCAAACTCTAACAAAATGGTGAACGTCTGTGCTGTTTTAAAAACAAATGTCCACGAAAAATCAATCCAGAAGGATTTTTTATCCAAATTTTCCGATTTTCTCGTGACTCTGACAGGAGCAGACTTAAAGGTAGGTTCGGTTTCATATTTTTGATTGTCTGTATGACTTGACACTTTATTTGGTAGCTAATGAGACGAGCTATTTGAGAATATATCATAACAATGGTTGAAGGAGCCGCGGTGGCTCAGTGAGTTAGACGCTTGCTCGCTAATCTTAATTCATGCACCCATTCATTCATTCATTCATCTATTCGTCAATCCATACATACATTCACTCATACATTCACTTACTCACTCGCTCAATTTTTCATTTATTTCGGATCTCGGATTATGATTTCAGAATATAACCCTGGAACTGTATACTGATGTCACTATGATGAGGGCTGGAACCACAGCTCCCATGTTAAACATCGACTTCGTACACAATTCACCTCAGATAGACCAAACGTCTAAATATGAATATGCCAATAAAATAACTCAGTTTATTTGTATTCATCTTCATATACCAGAGGACAGGTTAGTTACGATCCATGCTAATTTTTATTATCACACCTTGTGCTGTCAATGCGTGTTTTTTTTTTTTTGGATGAACGTCAGAGTTACTCGGTTGAAGACGTGTTTTGGATATGAAAGTCAACGCCAGGACAACTTGGCTTACGACGTGTTGTCTTTTATCTTTAGATTGCGATTCTATTAGTCGCCCCTCCCCCTCCGCTCTGTCCCCGCCCCTCCACTTTAAATATATTTTGTGCCCGCTTGACATTTCTGTTAATTCAATTTAATATCCTACAAATTGTTTCGTTTTAGAACGCTGGTCTTATTTACTGATTCCAGAAAATGTACATAGACTTAATAATAAAGAAGTAACGAATATAGTTGTTGAAAGAAGGAAACTGATCATAAGTTTAAGAACTGCTGATTTTTTGATGGAAAAAAAAATATATTTTAAAAACATTTTATGTCTTATTTTTAAAAATTTAGAATATCTGAGTTTATTTATCTACCCTAAAACTCATACCTATATCCCTGGACCTTTTTGGATTAACTGAGCAGGTCCGAAGCTAGATTAGAGTCTCAGGGAGAGGCGAATTCTTTGAATGGGGCTCAACTACTGCAGCGACTCAACAAGTCATTTAGGTCATCTAAATTTTTCAGGTGGGTGGGGGGGGGGGGGGGGGCAAAATTTTCTTGGGGGGGGGGGGGGGCTCACCCCTCTTGAATAGCCCCCCTCTAGCTATGGGCCTCGGAGGAAGGAGAGGGAGTCGTGTTATGTCATGTCCAGCGAGCTAACAGTTGAAACAATTGGACATATTCTGTGGATAAGGTGTGCCTAGTCTCTCAGAGGCGATGAAACGGGGAAAGGTGTTCGATATATTCGTCGGAACCCTGGCGGTAAAATGTGTTTCAAAATTCACGAAAATGAGCTTATAGAGACACGTGTGAGATAAGCAACAACCTCCCATCCCCACCACGACGACCCACGACCATCCCTCACGAACACCCTTGATCTACAGTTACTTATGGTAAAATTTTAACAATATAATAAGATGTGGGACTAGAAAACAGACGACCTAGGGCAAAATCCTCTTCCGTTGTTGGTAGATAAGATAAGATAAGATAAGTTTATTGTATCAAATACGCCCATTAAAGACATCATACAACGAGTGGTACATTTGAAAGGATATAAAATTATTAAATTTACAGACTTCAACAAAAGGTAGATGATGAATTACATTATATTAATAATTCACAGACAAAAATACATAGAACTAACAGAACATGGTAAATCTAATATATAGGCATAAAATTGTATAGCATAAATTTATGAAATAAAATAAAAATATAAAACGACGAGTCGACTTGTAATAAATGGAAAAATAAATCACACGATAATGTGCAAACAGTATTAAATGTCGATACAATTAGCTACGTTTCGGGACTAATCCCTTTATCAAGCGAAAGATGACAAGTTAACGTCTGCTTCTAGTTAAGTGAGGAAATAACTATGAATAATATATTATAAGAACTTATAAGAAATACATTTTCTTATAAAATTCAATAATAAAATTAAAAGGTTACGCACCTTGAAGAATGATTGTAAAGAGGTTTTCTAAATTTTGTATGTGTATCGGGGACAGTAATAGCATCAATTTGCACCATTCAAATTTTCAATCAGACGTCTGTTTTTCCTGCAATTCCACTAAAACTAAATGTTTGCTGACGTCACTAATCGCAAAATATTATGCTTTATCACATCAGACTTTTCGCGATTAGTGACGTCATCGACCATTTAGTTTTGGCGGAATTGCAGGAAGCAAGGACGCCTGATTGAAAATTGGAATGGTGCAAATCAGTGTATGGTATATTTATGTAAAATGTATTACTTCTATTGATATATTCCCAGGGAACTCGTGGTTTCCATTACAAATTCAATAATGAAAGTACATGCATATTCAAACTTTTATTTATTTTTGTCGATTTGGAATTTTCAACGATAATAATGAACATTTGAAGTGTTCTACTGCATATATAAATATACATGAATGTGTGTAATATTAGTTTCCGTTGTTTTCATACTTTGAATAACTCGTGATATGGTCATAATAAGCTAATTTTGGATTCATAATAAAGACAGAAAGAAAGACACAACTATACTTTACAAGAATAACAACTTACGTTCACCAAGGATCTTTTCTACCCAACCTATTGGCATTGATATTTCCAGAATTATCCAAACCCATTTTATACAGCTGGGTCGACTGGAATTATGAGTGACGATGACTTAGTCCACCGAGATTGTGTTATAGTGACATAAACTGTATCGTCGGATGTTACAGGATTAGTCGAAAAGTGTTGTACATATCTTGTAACCTTTGTCAAAACAAACAGTTTTCAAATTAGAATACATGTAATACACAAAAAATGTAGACTCTCTGAAAGGGATTCCTAGTTAAGAAAACCAGTAGCAGAGTGGCATAATGTCATTTGGAAGAGTGAGCATGCCTCGCCGCAGAATTCATTATATAGGAGCTCAAATTTAATAATGATTAAATAATCAGCCGAAAATACCGTGACTTGCGTGACGGAAACTGTCGAGGATTGCCGAATGACTCATTCGCTGTGAATTCACATTATTTGTAAAGGATCAGTTTTCGTACAATACATAAAGGATATATTATATAACAATTCATAAATTTGGTGAACAAAATTTCTCGGAGATTTGGCACTTGATTCACATTTCTCTATTTTTAGTTTATGGGAATATTACATCAGCAATTACAAAGCACAGATGTCCAGTTCTCTGGTTTCAAAAGAGATTTAATCATCATTATATTGTCAATATCCTGTGATGCATATCAATTTTGTAGAAATATCTACACAATAAAAAATATGTCTTATATAGTCTATAACATTTTTTTTAATATCAAAGACGGACTTAAACGAAGTTAAACCGCTTGATAGTCTTGAAAATCACATTCGTAAAGTTGTTCTAGGTTGTGGAAGGCTTCATGAATGCAATTGTGAACTGCAGATAATCTATATATTCATGGATCAATCAATCATGGTCGGAGTGGCAGTGATTTTGAATTCATATAGGTTATAAGAATGTATATGGAACAAAACGTAAAGAGTTGAATATTGTTAGAAATATTTAAACAGGACCTGAATCTTGTTCTTACTCGGAGTTTCAAGCTATACGATCTTCAGTCAACTGACTTATTGAAGTTTGGAAAGTTGAGATCTTTAGACAACCGAACTATTTCAACTTAAGTCCCTACTAAAGTTGGACAAGTAAAATGTGTTTCGTGTCTGCACTTCGATGTACTCTTTTATGTAACCAATTTATAAGACACTGACTTTTAGAGTGAATTACAGTAGGTCTACACACTATCAGAAAAAAGATATTAAAAGATTTTAAAATCGTATTGTGGATAGGAATAAAAACTAATGCGCCAACGATCCGAATCATAAATCGTAACCCGAAATTCAAAGAACATCGTGACAATTTGAAGACAATATGAACCAAACTGAAAAAGACGCGATCTATTCCATCTTCTGTGAACTGACCAAAGATGTTCAACCTAAATATATTCTGGCCCCGCTAATACAATACCGAGTTGTGACACACGAAGACCTTGGCGGTCTGGATGTCCAAAACTATCTCAGCACCTCGAGAAGCGAACAGATCCTCGTGAAAATGATCGAAACGTGTTCCCTGGAAACGTTTGTGAATATTTTACGTCATGAAAATATATATGACCATTTAGTCGAACTTGTTTTTGCAACAATATCGCAATCGAAAGGTACAGAAAATACTAACGGGGTCAACTATCAAAATGCAGGTGTGCCATCACAGCTATCCCGCATTAACATTTACACCGGAAGTAGAAAGAAAGTCAAACGGGTTGCTCATTTGTTGAAGCGTCTCATTCATTTTGGAAAGGCTGAGGAGTTTCAAAAGAACGTCAACAAAATTGAGTCGAAATGGAATTTTATGAAGAACAATCCACGAGTTACGAACGTCCAGAAGGCAGAAGTAGCTGACCTCTTGTTCAGTGCTCTGGATTGCCAACTTGCCAACATGAGAATCAAAAACGATCCTGGAATGTACAATCATCAATTCTTCAAAGAAATGGTCGCAATTATTCCCTATACTTCCAATCCTATTTTGAGCAGCATGTCATACACGGCTCGATTTGGAGCCACAGTCATCCTGGAAGAACCGTTGGACCATGGGTTAGCTCATCTGATGACTGCGAAGATGCATTCTGAAATGATTGTACCGTGTAAAGAGGCCGGAATGGTTTATTATCAAGAGATTGACATTCTGGTCAGAAAATACGAAATTGAGACTAATGACGTCATGAAACAAGATATGTTAAGTCGGTGTCGTCTGGCGCTAAATCAGTTTGATGAAGAGACGTCTGCAGTGAAGGAAGATTTTACCCGGATGTTGTTTCTGCGCATGGCAAATATCTATCTGGGAATCAACGTGTTTGGTTCGGTGATTGCGCATGTTCAAATATCGGACGGGGATCTCCGAGAAGCGGAAAATTGTTTAAAAATGGTGAAATCCACATGGAATGGAATGGACACAAGACGAAAGATGTTTTACTATATTGCCAAAGCTGTGTTGAATCAAAACCGGAACAGGCCCGACATTGCTTTAGTCAAATCGAAGCTTGCTCTAGAGTTAGCAAATCAAGGAAAATTCCTTAATGAAAAACCGTCCATCGAAATTCTGATTCAGAAATTTGAATTTGAATTTGCCGCCAATTGTGAGAACGAAATTGGGGACACTATAAACGACCTCGATGCCATCATGGCTGACGATGAAGATTAATAAAGGAAATGTTAAGAGGTATGTATGTGTATCTTGGACTCCGATAGCACCGATTTGCACCATTCCAATTTAGACCTCTGTGGTTCCTGCATTTCCACTTAAACAAAGCGTTTTGATGACACCATTATCGCAAAATCTACTTTATATTTTATAAGGCCCTTTCCTATAGTGTCGTCATTTGTAGTGGAATTGCAGGAAACACAGGCGTCTGACTGAAATGTGGAATGGTGCATATCGTTGCTAACAGTGTTCCTGATACACATGAGTCCTATAAAAACTAAGATTTACTTTTCGTGATAAGAAATATCAAAACTGAGAATACGTTTAGAGTCTATGTACAAGGGATAGTTTGCATCAAGTAACATTCTGTTTATGATTCTCTCCTGTTTATTTGATACTGTATATTGTTATGTAATATATGACTATCTATATTACTGAACATATTTGTATTGTAAATTAAGTTTGGATATACCGATTCTCTCTCTTTGTGTACGTTGAAATCTGATCGTTCATGTTGGTTGGTTGAATAATTTCTGATGCAGAGTTACTGTTTTTCAGTCTCCAGTCAATCTATACTCCAAGATTATTTCAATCCACCCGATAATATCGTGATCCGGCGTAAAAATCCACCCGGAGATTTTGTTACAAGACACAAACGTGAAAATGAAACTTTAATGAAAATGTACACGAAAAAGGGATGAATAAATAAATAAATAAATGAATACCGTAACTGTTTTAAATAAATGAATAACTGTATAAATAAATGAATAATTCTGATAAAAAAAATGACATATTAATCAACAAAACAATGAATCGAAATAATAATAACATCAAGGGTATGACTATTACCCAAAATATGCGAGGCTGTATTGACATTCAGACAAGGTCAATGAAATATTATCAAATATATACTATTATCTAAAATAAATATATCATATCAATTATATTCGAGAGTGGGGTGAAAAGTTCAAAGGCTGGCTCTCTAGGAGTTATGCCACAACAATGTACTGGTATACAATAAAATTAATATAACTTGTAGTTTTGAGATTATATACTTTTTGTCCCACCCTCGTATTGAAAGGCAAAAGAAACGCTATGAAGATGTAGAAGAATTTTCGTTTGTCTAATACACCCAATACTACAAAAATACACAATCAATTATTATCAGGGTTCATCAAGTTGACAAATCAAGCCGCACAGTGGCATCGGGTAATCCCTTAAAATGAATTACATTGCAAAATGATGCCATCATAAATCAATATTCCTTCATCCACCGAAAACATCAATATCGAAATAAGAGAAGAAATAAAAAGGGAATTCCAGTGCTGATATGACAAGAATTAGTCGACTCCAGAGAATTTCCGAGAATTCCAGATAATTCCACACATCAACAATGATTCTTTTAAATATCTTAGTCTTAAAGGGATTGTTAAATAACGGTTTGTGTGTATGGGGACACAGATAGCATCGATTCGCACTATTCAAATTTTCAGTCAGACGTCTGTGGTCGTAATAATAGAATGCTTTCTTGTTAAAACCGTATATGAGACCACCATTCAAAAGCTACAATTGATATCTATGGGCATTATTTGTGATAGTCATAATCCAAGTCATATTTCAATTGGGGATATCAGGCTTTTTTCTTGACATAAAGGGGGCGTGGTGGCTCAGTGTGGCAAAATGTCTCTTCCTGTGTCCGTCGTCATCTCCCAAAACAGGTTGAAAATATGGGCATAAAGCTCCATTTTATTTCCTTTGTCAAGAGGTTGCTGACATGTTTGGGATATAAATGCCTCAGTCAGGACATAAGGGTAGAAAATATCGTAATAATAATACGCTGTATAGCACCATAATGTTCATCGTCGCAGTTCAGGTTGCTGCAACCCCACTCGCGTTTTCTTTCTTAAGCTATTCAGAGCTAAGTATCGGCGACGGGAGTTTCTCTGCCCTTTTGGTCCCCGAATTAAATGAGGGTTGGGATATTTTGGTGGGTTTGGAACCTTCAGAGAATTCGGTACTGGGGTTGAAGAAACATTTTCTTTCTTTGGTTCTTCATCATCCATATCAAAAACTTCTAAATCCGAATCCAGATCGCTGATAACCGCAACCCGGTTGGAGAAATTTGGTGTTTTATTTGCCCGTTTCACTGCGACCAATCTTGGTGAGTTGACCGCAAAGTTGTCTGACATCACGCTGTCTGGTTCGTAGTCCGTAAATTCATCCTCGTCTTGATCAACGTCAGAAAACGCGTGCCGTACTTTTCCGTTTTTCCGGTTAGGAAAAAACGCGTTTCGTTGAGGTTCTACGAATAAAGGTGTCGTTTTGTTTTTGTTCTTTCGAGGAGAAATAATTTCACTCACAGAAGACATGGCGTCGTCAAACCCGCTACTAGAGGTGTTCTCCTTGGACGGCGGAAGCATCTCCTGTACCGTCTGACTGATAATTTCATTCGTTATTAGATCTTCGCGTGTCTTTTCACTACCGACTACTATTAGTTTTGATTCTGAAAATGAAGTAATGGCTTCCACATTTGTTTCCGATTCCGAAGTCTTATTTTGATCATTGTTCGAGAGGATTTCTTTCAAAATTTTTCCAATTCGTTTCTTGCCTTTTTCGTTTTTCTGTTGAGGTTTCGACGAACCAGCAGAAGTGGTCGACGTTGGTGGTTTTTCCGGAAGTGTGGTCGCGTCTTTCGCAATTTTAGGCTTTACATGCGACTCAACTCGACCCGGTGACGCAAGATTAGGCAAATCTGATAGTCGCTGGGACAAATCGAGCGCACTTCCTCCTAGTCCGTGCGACACCGTCGTCAAGCCTTTTCGTGTGTGTCTTTTCGGAGTGGTTAAAATAGATGGAGGTTCTTCGACTGAGTTGGGGATACTTTCAACGTAAGCTTCTACTTTCGCTTTGGTTATTTTCTCCGGCGTGTCATCACCGTCCGAAATAGGAACTGGACTTTCCATGATAACGCGCATGTTTTTTTCAGACCGGGTCGATTCGATGAAGGTTCGTTTGGAAAAGTCTCCGCCCATTCGGGATCCTGGCCTAGGTACTAGATTTGCCTCGTGTTGAGTGGACAACCGAGGTGTTGGCGTCTTGGCGTTGAAGTCCTCGACATCCTCCCCGCGATCGTCAAATGCGTCGTTGTCGTAACCGTCCTCGACAAACGACTCGTCTGGCGACTCCGATGTTTCTGAGGAACGACGATCATCGAGTGTCTGTGTTGAAGTTGTCACCTTTATGGATACAGACTTCTTCAGGCCCGGTCGTCTTGTTGATGATGGACCTGCAACAAAACACGGATTCTTAAAGACCCGGATTTAAGCTTTTGAGGGATTCTTCAACGTTCGTCTCATAAAAAAGGGAAAAGTAATTGTAAAAATGTTTTCTAATCTTGATACGTACATTGGGGTGCGGTGGACACTGATAATATTGAGGAATTGCAAAGCATCAAAGAGTTACCGGTTCAAGGTAGTAGAAAGGGGCAACATACCTGCATAGATCTGCATCAGTTTACTTCCAGTACATATAGATATTGGCTCGGATTTAAAATCGACAAAATAATCATCGTAAGCATTTCGTCTCTGCATCTGAAATACAGCCATTAGGTATGTTAAGAAAGACAATTCTGACATAATTTCTGTCGAGATCTCTGATTTAGCTGTATTCGCTAGCGTACAATCCAATAAAATCGCTTCATTTACAAACCTCAGTTAAGGTGACTATTGCAGTCATAAGTGCGAAAGTCGCATTTGCTTGACACTATAAAGATGATGCAACGACTGACACGACAGTTTCACGAAATACTGTGTTGAGAATAAAAAACTGGCTTACCTTATACATGAGGCGTTGTATAGAAAGACAAGGGTAGCAAGCTATCCGCCATTTTTTACTCTGGATGTTTGGGGGTGCGTACTCGTCGCCATTTGTAATATATAGTTTGGTGGTTTTTACTTTACATTTCATATTAAAGGCTGTTTGGCACCATTCTTCTACACACGCTCCAAGATTTATCTGAAAAATATATCTTTCCTTCAGTGTCATTTCCTGGAAACATCCGGTGAAGGCCCGTACATGGGCAACACAAATGTTGTAGGGGGTACAAGCCATTCTTTCACTGTGTAATATGAAGGGGATGGGGTGGGGAGGAGGGGGGACCAACCTCTTTCCATTCGACTGAGGTATTAACGCGAACTGAACATAGGTCGTTATCCTTGTTAAACATCTGTATTTTTTCTTTCTTTTCTCCTATCTGTTCAATTTATCCATCTAACACTTTCATTTACCCCCAGTTGTTTATGACTGCTTCGTTCGTCAAACAATAGAAGGGTCTGTTTAACTTGGGGTGTAGTTTCAGGGTTGGAACGTGAAAAGTCACTCCTACCCAAGTTTGTCATCTCGACATCCATTTCCGGTTTTTCAGTCTTCATTTTACAAGAATATGTTACCTACCTCAATACAGTACCGCCTCCTTGCTAACACCGATTCCCAAGATTGCTCGAAAGCCTGCTCTAAATGTTCTCTCACTGACGATTGGTTGGGATTTATAGCTATCAAACATGGCGCTGAAATTGAAGAAGATCAATGGTTGAAATAACAAGAAATCAATATAAGAGTATAAGATGATAAGTGTCACAAGCAGGGGCGTATCTAGAAAATACCTGAGGGTGGCCTAATGGCCCACTCTGAATATCTGATGAAACTGTGACGGGGCATGTCACCCCAGCATCCTTTTTAGAGAGTTCATTATTATAGCTAATGCTACTGTTTTTGGTAAATCTATTTCGCATCCTTAGTACACCATGATTGCTTTAATTCGATAAATAATCTTATATTAAAGCTGACATGGGATCACAAAAAGGGAAGGCACCTGTAAAGCACAGGGACGATCTCTTGTCAACAACATTTAATAAATTAAGAGATTTTCTAGCTATTGCAAGTGGATTGGAAACCCATATAGATTTATAACTATGTTTTCTGACTGTGGGAACCCTCTAGTTTTTAATTGCACCATTTTACCTTACACCAGAATGTTTTTGAAATATCTAAGAATCGTTTTGATTCACAGGTTGCGATGTATGAAGAGGCCATCTTGACAATGTCAAGGTATTACTAACTTCGTCTTGTACGAATTTGGATACTGGTTATTCGACAAATCAAGCCTTACCCAGTTCATCTGACGTGATATTCGGATTAGATATCGGAACTGATACCCCATCCGAATATCACGTAGGATAAACTGGGTAGGATTAGATTTGTCGCTCTAAGATAGAGGCATACATACGTTATCCACCAGAATAGGTTCAACAATGATATGTATTTAAAATTGTACCTGTTTGACCTTGTGTAGTGGCAGTAATTTTGTTATTTTTGATAATCGCAGTGATAACCGAGACTCTCTCTAACATCCAGAGGCGAACCTGTTTCAGATGACTCAGACTTTCAATAAATATTGTCCTGAAATTTAACGAAATATTTTCATCAGGCATTTTTGTCTCAATAAAGGTGAGCATTCCCAAGTTACACAGAAACTTCATAATATTGTTTACAATTGTATGATCGGTCACAAAAAAGACACTAGTGTCAAAACGCAAAAACACTTTGGTAAGGCTTCAGAAACATTCATCAACAATAACTATAAGAGATACTTGCACAGCTTTATTGAACAACAATCACTTTTATGCTACGTTTCGACATGTTTCTGCCGTCGTTTTCTCAAACGTTGCATAAATCTTTAACCAGTGATTGTGGTCCCATAAAGATGTCTCTATAGATCGTGCTTACATTTGCTAGATGCTATTTAAAAACAGTAACGCTCAAAAATCTTCTGCTTGGTCTTTGATTTTGACAGTTTTCGGCTGGTGTCAATATAGCTATCAGAGGCTGGAGTAGAGGCATATATTTCGGACTAGGTCTTTGATAGCAATTTGGTTTTGTTTCTAGTCCAAGAATTACTCTATTAGCACTTACCATGTTTTCCCATCTCCTGAAGGTGATCCTAGCATCGGCTGCATCATCAACGAATCATGAAAGAACACGTTGACCTCATCTGGGTCAAAGGTTATAAGGTCACCACGTTCCAAAAAGAACAAATCATTGAAACCTTTCGGACATTCCAGAAACTCGTCCCAGGTGATGATACTGAGTCCATAGTCACCTCTTCGGGATCTTTTGGACAAACGGCCCGTGGGTTGTGATCGGTGAGTTCCGGGTCCGGGGGTTGTACAATCCGTCACAAAACTTCTGTCTGTACTCCTTCCGGTTGCCAAGTCCTGAACTTCGGTAACTTCCGGTTCAGAATATCGCCTGGGTATTTCAGGAGACATGCTCATGACTGAGTCAAATTTTGAAAGGTAGCTGTCCACCATGACTGGTTTCGTTCCAGCTAAATCCATGACTATTTCAGCTCCTCCTATGGAAGCTCGTCCGGGTGTTCCTCGACTACAGTCCGTTCTGGAAGATTGGGGGTAATCACCAGTAGTCCTGCGTCCAGCATCTCTACCACAGTCCTTGTCTCTTCCTTCCATTGGCAAACACTCGATGGTCTGCAATGATTGGTTTGATCAGACGTCACTCGATTCGCACGCGTTTAAATTCCAATCATTCAAATCAAATTCTGGCTTTCGCATTTACTGAAAATATCCTAAAACAAAGGGCTAAAATTTTGTCACTGAATCACTGTTTCACTGTTACTCTTTAAATATCTTTAGATTCTGGTCACTCTGTTGCTTTCAGGGCACAAATCATCTATCAAAAAAATATCTTCAAACGTACATTCTTGGTCACCTTTCTATTTTCAAATCCTATTCATAAAGCAAACACGATCTCCTACAACAAAGGAATTAAATCTTTTCACCTCTTTTTATCAACCTCTTTCCAAACTCTATATTAAAACCGAATTCGTTTCATTAGAATAAATGTGAAATACCACACAGTCAACTTATTTGAAATTCAGAATCGGAAAAACAATATCCCCATCTGTGAGAAAATGGCGATCCAAATAGTCACGATCTGAAGTGCACAGAGAAATGGTCAGATGACTCACACGATTCAAAATCATAGTGACCATTGGCGATAGGGCGCGCATGTCGCCGTTGTTACATGGATTATCCCCTTAATCTATTAATCCCATCACCAATACGATAATCCGCTCTGATTTGACCAATGTTTTAAATTTGTTATTATCTTTGATTTCTAATTAGCTACAATTAATTACTAATCATTCCAAACGTTAATTATTTTGTTATTAGATAGATTGTACAGAAGTTTTCTTAACTTTTTATGTGTATCGGGGACACTGATAGAATCAATTTGCACCGTTCAAATTCTCAGTTAGACGTCTGTGGTTCCTGCAATTCCACTAGAAATAATAAGTGTTTTATGACTAATCGCAAAATATCAAACACTTAGTTTTACTGGAATTTCAGGAACCACTTTCAAGAAGTGTGTTATACAATAATATATTCCCTCGTCGCCCGTGTATTTTTTGTTTTATTTGCTCTCCGCTTTCTAAATGTCGTTCTAATCATATTGTATCTCAACTACCAAAGTATCCAATTGTTTTATATAAAACTACCATCTACCACGACCACCAACGCCAACAACAACAACCACAAATTTCAACAACCACGACCACCACCTACAACATCTACCTAGTCTGCTATCTGCATGATGCGGACGTTAACTTGTCATCTATCAACAACTACCTAGTCTGCGATATCAGTTAGCTGGAAGCTGGCGGTGCCCCTGCAAATATATTTGCCCCCCCCCCCCTGCAAAATTAGAACAAATTCTGAAATCAGTCTCTTTCAGCTATTTTGCCCAATGCCAGTGCAGCCGCCACCTTGGCAAATTGGGCACTTTACGGGCCTGCTACCTAGTCTGTTACCAGTAATGGGCGTTAACTTGTCATCTAATAACTACCTAGTCTGTGATATCAGCATCTGCTGGAAGCGGACGTTAACTTGTCATCTAACAACAACAACAACCTAGTCTGTGAAATCAGCATCTGCTGGAAGCGGACGTTAACTTGTCATCTAACAACAACAACCTAGTCTGTGATATCAGCATCTGCTGGAAGCGGACGTTAACTTGTCATCTAACAACAACAACCTAGTCTGTGATATCAGCATCTGCTGGAAGCGGACGTTAACTTGTCATCTAACAACAACAACCTAGTCTGTGATATCAGCATCTGCTGGAAGCGGACGTTAACTTGTCATCTACCTGCCAATCAATTGTCTTCATTAGCTCAATCAGATGCAGACGAGTTTCTGGACGTAAAACCCTGTTTTATTCATCAATTAAACATAAGCCTAAATAGTTGATCTGTTAAAGGCCTTGTGAAATTTTTATTTATTTATTATCCTCATTCGGCAATTCTCGGCACTTTCAGTTAATTTGCATAGAGTATGCGGAATTTTCGCGGTGGCCAGTTTGCGATTGTATGTCTTAAGATTATCGTAACAATGAAAAGATACGAGTTATAGATTTTACTGCTTCGTATAAGCTTTAATTATCCATTCTTCTCAAATCTGTTCTGCTCTGACTTGGTCAACCTTTTTAATCTGCTATGATCTTTCCACCTTTTCTCAGTCAGTTTTAATGATTTAATCCTATCGACTCATTAATAGTGATTTGAAAAAGGATCACGTATGCAGAAGAGGGTTACATTAAAACACTAAGTTATATAGATAAGCTACCGGTATTTTTGAATTAAAGGGACAGAGGCGCCGTTTTGAGGAGTTTATTTGAGTCTTGAATATATGTAATTATTCTTCAGAAGTATTAGAAATGTACGAAGATCGCATAATTCCTTCAAAAATACCTGAAAACTAGGAATTTCTCTTCCTATTTCTATGTCTTTTCTATTTAAGGCAGAGTCTCAAGAAAAGGCGTGTCGTCTTTTTAACATTATAACGCAAATAATTTTGTACACACATGGATTTGAAGGATCAAAATTCGACGGTGATTTGTGAATACCACTATACTGATTAGCTTAGCTAAAAAAATTATTTCTGAGAGGATTGATCAAACGGATGTCAAAACCGTCCCTTTAAAACACTAAGATATGCTACTGGTGCGTTTGAATTAAATACATACTACGTTTCGAAACACATACTGTAGTCCAAAAACTTAAATTCACTTCCATTTACATGTATTTCCAAACAATATTAGCCCGAAATATCTAAACGTAATTTTGTCCTTTAGACTTGTGTCGATTAAAAAAAATTCAAATAGAGTTGATTTGATTTAGCCTTTTTAATTAAAGGTTGGTTTAGAATTACCCTTTGAATTAATTGAAGCAAGTAGGGTTTGATAATATATCATATCATATTTTAACTATTTGATTAAGAAAACTCGGCATTATGTCGTAGGTAATGTGAACTTTTGTTTCTTTTAGAGGCGTAGAAATATTTTACTGTAGTCCGAATTGAATGATTATCTTCTCCTGTTTGGAACTCTTTGTGATTGGAGTTCTAAAAGGTCATATATTCCGGTCAAGGTGAAAAATGTACCGGTTTACGAATTTCAGTCGATTTTCTTCAATTTACCGAGGAATAACTCGCTTAAAAATAAATCCAGAACCCATATCTTGTGAGTACCTTTGCCCTCAATAGACGTAGAATGCAAATAATCCATAAGATAACCTTGACAACACCAATATTCAATCGTGACCTCTTGTGGAGCATGCGATATTTGGCTTCAGACAACAATAAATTTCTCCATGAGTCAAAACAGCATGTCAATGAAATACCGTATATTATATAATATTATCAAGTAAAAAATTTACCTTAAAGTGAAATTTTTGTCTCAGATCATTGCAATACTAACAATGGGTTATAGTCAGTTTCAGCTTGGCTCTTTAAGGGACAGTTGCGCCATTCTTTTTGACCAATCATACTTTAGTCTCACAAACAGAATTTTTTTTAGCTATGCCAATCACAGCTCACCATCGTAATTTGAGCCTTCAAATCCATGTGTTTCCAGAATCATCCGCGTTCGGATGTTAGAATGATGACTCTTCATTTTAAGATACTCTGTGATATATAGAAACAACATATATATTCCATAAGAGAATGTGGTTAATTTCCTAGTACGAGATATATTTAAAGGAATAATGCGATTTTCGTTCATTTTGAGTACTTCTGAAGACTATTAATATATTTTCAAGACTCAAATCAACCCCGCCAAAAATGCCCCATTTAGTACCATTTTGTCTTTTTCGATATATATTTTTGATGTATTGATCTTTTATTGGGACTATTTAGATGAAGCGATGGGGACGTTACGATCTTTATTATATTTTTATTATTTCACTTTCAACCTTAGATTTAACACATCTTAACAAATGGCCTTAACTTGTATGTTTTCAGGTAGAAACTGTCAACATGTACGCAGTTTGTCAACCAGTCCAGAAACACCACAACCTAAAATTCCTCAGGGTCCAATTAAAACCAATTCTAAAAGTAAAAGTACTGGTATCTTGCTTGGGTTGGCTGGAGCTCTGAGTGCTGTGATAATGGTTGTAAGTATATTAAGGGGACCGTGTGACCCTCTAGGCTGACTAAAATGTGGACATGGCATTCTGAATGTACCATTGTTAATATGTCTAAAATAGGACTGGGTAAAAACATAAAAATAATCGATTATCATAGCTATAATTTTAAAATTTAGAAATTAGTTTTTCGATCATTAAATTTTATAATGCCAAGTTACATTTTCTCCCGTGTACCTGTTGTTAGGTCAGTGATCTACTACTACTACTAGTAGTTACCTCTTCCACAAAATTTCCCTTCAGCACAAAACTTACCCACAATAAAGTATAACAACTATTTATTTCAGCTTTTTGTTGTTAAAAAGAAATCATCTGTTGAAAAGTTATCTGAAGGTAAAGATGAAATTTTTCTTTTGTCTAAATGATTGTTTTAGCAGGTGACAGAAGGAAAGAAACAAACAGGTTTAGGTTCATCGATCCTGTCTATCAGTTGGTGATACCTTTTGGTATCGATCTTTCCCGGAGACATTTACAGCTGAGTCGACTGGGATTTTGAGGAATGATGACTTGTTCATTTCCCATTTACAGCTTGGTCGACTGGGATTTTGTGGAAAGATGACTTGCTCATTTCCCCACTTACAGCTGGGTCGACTGGGATTTTGAGGAAAGATGACTTGTTCATTTCCCATTTACAGCTGGGTCCACTTGAACTATGGGGATACCAGACTTTCACAATTAGAAGCCACAACCGCCTTTTATTCGTCAGAACCTAGAAAATGACATCATGTAAAGATTATGAGATAATTCCAAGTGTCTGATAATAGATAAGATTTTGCAAAAAAGTTTGTCCTATTGGGCACTACCCTGAAGCCTGGTTCAAATTCCTTTTTTAGCTCCAAATGAAAATCCACCAATTGAAAATGATTCACAAAAAATATCAGAGGCACCCACAAGTCCAGCAGAAGAAGAATATAAAACACCATTAGACCCTCCCACAGAGTCAGTTGACCCCAACCATGTCCCTTATTTAATAATCGGTGCTGGGGCGGCAGCGTTCAGTGCTTATAAAGCTATCAGAGTCAATAACCCCACTGCTAAGGTATGCACTATGTATTATTCTCATATCTCTGGAAATTAAACAGATTGTCTGTGTACTCAGAGTTTTTAAACTCAAGAAACTCAATTAGTACCAGAAAAATATGTTGGATAATGTAGAATGTTGGAATACTCAGATGTTGGAAATCACTGAGAACACTGTAATCCAACGTCGATTTGTTCGATTGTCTTAAAACACATTTTAGACACATGTTTTTTTCTGATTTCTTAATTTTTTGATGTTCACAACTTTTGATTTTGGTGTAACATTGCAAGACTAATTTTGGCAGGTACCAGACTTTTTTATTTAAATGTGCCGTTGTTTTTCTCTAGGTTGTCATGGTAACAGAAGAAAATCATCTACCTTACGCTAGGCCACCATTATCTAAAGATTTGTGGCTGACCAAGGCAAAATCGTTTATGGGCATGAAATTTTCAAAACGAAAAGAAGAAGTACCTAGGTTTGAAATTACTAATTTATATGCCCAAAATATTTCTTCACAATGCCAAGCTTTAATGAATTTTGTACTTATACCTTGACTGCAATAGTTAGTATCATGGAGTGCAGTTATATGTTTGCTTTGTACCACAGCGAATACAGCTAATCATAGCCCTCGACAGAAAGGCTGTAAACATAATGGCTTTGTATTCACAGACTTGCTGTTAAGGCATCTCAATGGCTAGCGAATCCAATCACACTTCATATTAAAAACTTTGTGATACAAGAAAGATGACTGTAGCAGTCATAGTATAAGTAAGTGATAACTTGACTTTGTGAAGATGTTCTATGCCCTGTTGCTTTGTTAAATTCAAAGTTTACTAAATTAAACTCATTTATACTGACTGATGTTGTTAGATGAAGAAATTCATTTCATATTATTTTTTACAGTTTACCAATATATTTTGAATACAGTGCGTTATATACAGATTTAAAAGAAGTAACGAATAATAAGCGAGGCGGTGTTGCTGTACTTATGGGCAAAAAGGTAGATTTTTATTAAACCTCAGTAACTTGGTTTACATTGAGCTCCACTTTACATTGAGCTCACTTATTGAGCTTATCTAAATATGTACTGGACATGTTTATCAAGTCAAGACAAGCTTAACTTCAGGAGCACCTTCTGCAAGTCAGCAAGTCAAATTACATGTAGCTACTAATGTTTGTCTGGTATATTCTCTGTGGTATAGAGGGTTGAAAGGCACACCTCGGGCTGACTCTCGGAAGCACTGGCACAAGCCTCAGAATATTTCTGACTTTGAGGTAGATTCAACCAACCTAGCAGACAACAATCCAACTCATTAAGGTGACTATAATTAGGTAGATGATTGTCTCATATGTGGCTTTTGAAGCAGGGATAGTTTCTATGCCAAAGCCAAAGTCAACCTAGAATCCAAAAACCAAAGTTTAAACATTGCTCTATGTCTGTATTTGTCACTGTAGGTTATAAAACTAGATGCTGATAAGAAAAAAGTTATATTAAAATCTGGTGAAGAGTTGACGTATGATAAATGTCTTATAGCTACAGGTAATTCATTCATTCATTCATTCATTCTGTGGTTTATTCTTTCCTTTATTCGTTAATTTATTCAATGGTTTATTCATCCTTTTTTTTGTGTTGTCAATCATTGATCTTTTAATCTTCTATTGATTCTTTTATTCTTCCATTCATTCCTTTATTCTTTCATTCATTGTTGTTGGTCCCTTTATTCATTCAATCTGTAAATAATTCATTCATTCATTTACCAAAAAGAGTTGCTAGTTTATTCCTTCCCTTCATTCCCTTCCCCTCATTCATTATTATTCCAATCGTTCTCCAATCCATCAATTGTTTTGTTTAATTGTTGTGCCATCTGCAATTGTTTTGATTTTTGATTCATTCATTCTCTTACTCTTACTTTATGTATATCTCTGTTATTTAGTTTCTTGTTCCTGCTGCATTTATTCAACCCTCCCTCCTAATGTTCTTTATTTGCAGGAGGTAAACCTAAAAATTTACCACTGTTACAAAAAGCCTCACCAGAAGTTAAAAAACGAGTGAATTTATTCAGAACAGTAAGTCATAGTTTTTCTTTTATTTTAATTATTGATTTTAAGATTTTAATGATATTGTTCATGAAGTGTTATACACGAAGCCCTGTTTACAGTTAACTTCCTTGAGTGGTATTTAGTAACTGATGTTTGAATAACTGGACACAATTATATAGATAACAATTACTTTAATAAATAACTTGCGTCGTTTCCATGATGGTGCTTTTGTCTTTATTAATCATTGCTTGCTCGAAACGTCGCAAGTTATTTATTAAAGTAATTGTTATCGATATAATTGTGTCCAGTTATACTTTTTACAGTTAGAAATAAAGAATATAGAAGAAAATGGAAATAGATAGCTAAACTTTTAGGTTTTATCAAGGCAAAGGGCAAGATACGCCAAGTCTTCATTTTTATAATCATGTGAAGAAAATTGATCCATAAAATTTTATTTCAGGTAGATGATTTTAATCACCTGGAGGAAGTTACCCAGAATGCCAAGTCTGTTGCTGTTTTAGGCGGAGGGTTTCTAGGCACTGAATTGGCTTGTGCTCTCAGCAAAAAAGGTAAGATTCTCAAATTGACTGCTGAAGTAGCAGTGGTGTATCTAAGAATCTTTGAAGGTGCTGAGAAAAGACCACAGAATTGCCGATTGGGGGATCACCAGGCAATTTTCCCCTATGTTCAATGATAAGAATGCCCCTCCCCCTCCCCCCATATAAACGCCACTGTGAAGTAGACTTGAAGAAAGAAGACCTGACAATTGCATTCTTGTTTTTTGATATTTAAGTTATTTACAATTGTTTATTGGTTTCTATTGTAAAATAGTGGATACAATATTTTGATCTATGTAACAAGAGAATCAGTTTCCCAACAACATAAATCTTTTGAAATAGTTTGTGTTTCAACATATTTCCTGAGAATATTAGCCCAAAATTTTATGGAACCTAAAAAATATCAGCCCCTATCTAAATTTTTCAATGCACTACATATTCAAGTTGTTTGTATTTTTAGGTCAAACAAATGGAATGAAAGTTTATCAAATTGTACCAGAGACAGGTTGGTGGAGTTTTATTTTTGACTGTTAATTCTCCGTCGCAGCATTTCTTGATGAATTGAATTGAATTGAATTTTTTTTTTTTGAGCTAGCTAAATGAAATTATCAAGCCAATAAACTAATAATATCAATAAAATCAGTTCAATAACCATTGTGAATTATTCTAGATATTCTATATTTAAAGATGGGTTTCCTTATTTTCCAGTGTCAAATTAAGCAAACTATTTGATTAATTGGTGTTTCTAATAAATTATCATGTATTCTTAATCATATCATTATGTTCTTATTGCATATAATTAAGAGTTTTAACCAATCATAAATGTCCATGTATGTACAGTCTGGATAAACAAAAAAAGATTTTTTGAACTTTTTTTGATCGGTCAATCATTTGAATTCTGCTGGTAATTTAGCTTATTATGAATTAATTATGGACATGTGAGACAAACTGGTATTTTTCCAACACTTCTATTTTATTTTGGGAGCCCATTTTGGGAGCCCATCTTTAAGTGATTTCTGTCAAGTGCATTTCATCAGCCCAGTCTGCACACTAAAAAGAAACCTAGAAGAATACTGCTTTTTGCACTGCATTAAATAGTAAGAATATATCACTTAAAGGCAGTTTATTTTCAATTTTAGGTGTTTTAGCCAAAGTTTTACCACAGTTTGTATCTAAATGGATGAGTCACCAAGTCGAAAGAGAGGGGGTGGAAGTTATCTATGATGATAAACTATTTTCTGCTGGGTTTAAAGACGGCCAGCTGGAATTAGAATTACTGAAAGGACGATTGGTATGTTGAAACCTTGAAACTTATGTATAGAAACAAACTTATACTCAGACTTATATTCTTAAACAACCTTGAACTTCGACACCTTTCAAAACAGCCTTTACCTCTGTCTTCATTTGATAGAAACAACCTTGAACTTTGATTTCATAAAAACGACAAACAACCTTGAACTCTGACTTGATGGAAAACACCTTGACCTTTGACTTCACTTGAAGGAACATCTTTGACCTTTAATGTGACTTTAACCTGGCCACGTATTCTCGAAACGATCTTAGCGCTAGGATGTCCTAGAACCAATGTTAGAAGATAAGAACTTAGGACATCCTAGCGCTAAGATTGTTTCGAGAATGTGGGGCCTGATTCTTATCAATCCTAAAATTTGAACTTATTCTTTATTATCTTGACCTTTGACCTGATATATTCCAGTTGAAAGTGGACCAGTTGGTGGTAGCTGTAGGTATTGAGCCTTGTGTGGAATTGGCTAAAACCTCAGGTTTAGAAGTTGATAACCAACATGGTGGATTTAGAGTCAACTCAGAATTACAGTCAAGGTCTGATGTCTGGGTGGTGAGTATAGCAATTTGTAAGTTTGAAAATGAAAAATATTATTTTGTGTATCAAGAAATGTAAAAATGAATGCAAGTTGTATGAAAAAAATGAAAGATGCCACAAGATATCAACAACAATAATTAAGATTAAAATATGTTAAATATTGCTCTAAACATCAATGATAAAGCCATTTAGAAATATTAAAAGAACCTATATTATATTTCTAGGCTGGTGACGCCTCATGTTTTTATGATATCAAGCTGGGTAGAAGGAGGGTGGAGCACCATGACCATGCTGAAGTTAGTGGAAGAGTTGCAGGAAGAAATATGACTGGGGAATCCAAACCATATAGACATCAGTCAGAATTCTGGTGAGGAACAACAGAGTCTTTAGACTAAAAATTAAAACAAAAAAATAGTAACAAGGAATTTGATTTTACTGAATTTTGAAATAGAATTGCTGGGTTCGTGAGTCGTGATCATTTGAGCCATGTCCCTTTATGAATAAATACCTGGTACCTCGGTTCACTTTATCCAAATAGATTTGTCTGAGGCAGTGTGTTTTTACCGTTCAAATATGCTCAGTTATGCTGTTTATATTACATGATGTTTTCAGCTGTTTTTCTGCTGATGTTTTCAGAGATTATAACATTTTTTGGAAAAAATCATAAATTAATTAAATTTTTTGGACTGTTTGATATTTGTAGGTCTGATATAGGAACTAATGTTTTTATCCGAGCAGTAGGTATCACTGATTCTACACTACCTACTTTTGGTGTGTTCACACGATCACAGAACAAAGAAGGCAACACAAACAGTTCAGAAAATTCAAAAACTGACAAAGTAAGTCTTTATTTCCTTTGAACCCACAGGTACTTGAGTGCAGTACCAAATACATATTTTTCTTTAAAGGGATTGTAAAACATTTACCTGTATCGGGAACACTGATAGTATCAATTTTCAATCAAACGTCTATGACTCCTGCAATTCCACTAAAACTAAGTGTTTGATGACATCTCTAATCGCAAAGGGTTTTATGTGATAAGCATATTTTGCAATTAGTGATGTCATCAAACGCTTAGTTAATTATTTAGAAAACCTCTTTACGATCCAATTTTTATTAATGAACTTAGTTATGTTATAAAGAGAATTTGGTTCCTTTCAACTAACACATTTCTGAAGAGCATCTCTTATTTTCAAAGTATAGCATGACAGTATTCAGACTTATTCAGAAATCAAAAGTATTCAAGTGCTTCGAATATAACAATGTATTCATCTTTTAGAATTCGCAGCAAATTTCAACTTTAGAAAAGAAAGACAACTCTGATTTAGAAGAAGATTTAGATAAAGGAGTGATATTTTATTTAAAAGAAAACGTTGTAGTAGGAGTACTGTTAATAAATATATTTAGAGATCTTCTAATCGCCAGATTGGTGAGTGGTGTTTGAGTGTAGAGGCTTTCTGGATTCACTTGGCATTGTTATGAATGAAACTGATTGGGATGCATTGGCACCATTTGTAAATTTTCAGATAAAATTAATTGCTACACCTAACGGGGCTAAAGGTGCGGGCAGACGAGCTGTCATGGTCAGAGACTTTTGTCGCCGATTAGAGTCTTGTCTTGAGTTTCAACGACTGGCACAGGCACACGAGGAGACAAAAATCTCCAGTCAGTCGTTTTCCACCTTGTCGATTATCACGTGCAGAGCATGCAATTAAAAGGAATCTGATTGGATGATGATCGGAGACAATTATCAAACTTTGATATTATAAATGCAGTCGTTGAAGCACGAGCACACGCAAGATTTTACTCAAGATTCGAGTTGGAGACAAAAAGCCCCGACCAAGACCGCTCGTGTGTCCACACCTTAAAGATGACAGGCAATGCCATACAGTGTGCAATGAGAGAAAAATGGCTAAGACAGCAGCATTAGCCTGCTCTAGTTTCGTCATTAGCCTGCTCTAGTTTCATTTTACAATTGTCAAGGCAACTTTAACATGCATAATTTAAGATAGGAGTTAGGAATAAAACCAACATTTCATCTAGCATAACAGTTTGAAACTAAAACATTTTCTTCCAGGTAATAAACGATGGCGCGGAAAATGAAGATCTCTACGAAGTAGCAAAATTATTTTTTCCACATCCAAAAGATGATCTCGAGGAGGAACCCACACCAGAAAAAGAAAAGCCACAAATTTCGGAATCCGATAAAACACAGGATAAAAAATCGTGATGTGACACAAAAATTATTGACAAAATGTGAATAGGTTATCTGAAGCTCAAATCCATAATTGAACTTGAGGTAGTGCTAAATGAGATTTAATATCTGTCATGAGAAGTGATGTGTCATATTCCAAAATTGTTGAGAAAATGTGAAAGAAACCTAGTAATTTAAAATCAATAAATTTCAGTTGAGTGTCCTTAATTCAGATGTGTTTTGATCAGAAAAATGTTTGTAAGGATTAAATGCTTTGTTCTAGAACTTTTCTTCAAGACATTATTTGAAGTTTTAAAAATGGTACATAGATATTGAGTATATTAAGCTTAAATGTGTGAAACTGAACTTCAGGTTGTTCTGAATCAGAGTAAATGTGAGTCATCTATAACAGACTGAAGAAAAATAACCTCATTAGGATGGGACTTAAGTATAAATCTTGTTAGATTACAATAGAGATACAAATTGTCAGAAAGAAATGAACTTGTGATCTAATATCAGATTCAAAACACACTTTTATTCCTTTTGTCAAAAATGCAGCTGTGCATCCTGCATCATGCTTAAATAAGGTTTGTAAGGTTACTGGCCTGATGAGAGTTTTGTATTAGAAACAAGTGTCATCTAAAAAGGAGTTACTGTCAATAAGATATGAGCGATTTTGTAGACTGGACCAATTTCTTATGAGTACTCCTTTCTGTAGACTGTTTATTTGGCTGTATTACCTTAATCAGTCATGTCTGAATAGTGGCTGTATTGACTAGCCATGTCTGACTAGTGGCTGTATTGTCCAGTCTTGTCTGACTAGTGGCTGTATTGTTCAATCATGTCTGAATAGTGGCTGTGTTGTCCAGCCATGTCTGACCTCTGGCTATGTTGACCAGCCATGTCTGACTTCTGGCTGTGTTGACCAGCGATGTCTGACTAATGAATGACTGTATTGTCCAGCGATGTCTGACTAATGACTGTATTGACCAGTCATGTCTGAATAGTGGCTGTATTGTCTAGCCAGGTCTGACTAATGACTGTATTGTTCAGTCAGGTCTGACCAATGACTGTATTGTTCAGTCAGGTCTGATTAAAGACTGTATTGTTCAGTCAGGTCTGATTAAAGACTGTATTGTCCAGTCATGTCTGACTAATGACTGTATTGACCAGTCATGTCTGATTAATGACTGTATTGACCAGCCATGTCTGACTACTGGCTGTATTGACCAGCCATGTCTGACTACTAGCTGTATTGTCCAGTCTTGTCTGACTTGTGGCTGTATTGACCAGTCAGGTCTGACTAGTGGCTGTATTGTCCAGTCATGTCTGATTAATGACTGTATTGTTCAGCCATGTCTGACTACTGGCTGTATTGACCAGCCATGTCTGACTAGTGGCTGTATTTTCCAGTCATGTCTGACTAGTGGCTGTATTGTCCAGTCTTGTCTGACTTGTGGCTGTATTGTTCAGTCATGTCTGACTAGTGACTGTATTGACTAGCCATGTCTGACTAGTGGCTGTATTGACCAGCCATGTCTGACTAGTAGCTGTATTGACCAGCTTGTCTGACTACTGGCTATGTTGACCGGCCATGTCTGACTAATGACTGTATTGTCCAGTCTTGTCTGACTAATGACTGTATTGTCCAGTCTTGTCTGACTAGTGGCTGTATTGTCCAGTCCTGTCTGACTAGTGGCTGTATTGTCCAGTCATGTCTGACTTGTGGCTTCATCGCCCAACTATGTCTGACTAGAGCTCTAGACTTGTTTAGATTGTATTCACCAGTCATGTCCTGTGGAAGAGCTTGATTGCTGCTTGGGCTGTATTTAACAGTCATGTTTGATTGAAGCATGAAAATGTCTTGGTGATTATTGTGTACAGTGACAAAAATTTAAGAAAACATCTGTTTTGTATCTACATTTCTGTTAAATGATTTAAAATTAGATTAATAGGGTATATAATATTGTATATGCAATCAGGAATAAACTTTTATATTTAACCATTTTTTTAAATCTTTCTTTCAAAGAAGATAGTAACTTATGTCCACAGTAGCTTCTGTAAAATAAGCTGAAAATCATGAGATTGAAGGTCACTAACTCTCAAGGTTTATCAGGTGTTTTTTTTTTTACAATTTTCGTCAGAATCTTTGGCCAGACAAACAAACAGATCGACGAAATTTAACCATTCCATTTATGGGTAGGGTATTGGGTCCGCAAAGATAGATTTCTAGATTATGGAGCACCTCTCCCCACATCATGTTAATGGTGCGGGCCAACAAACAGTCTCAATCGCTGAAAATCTTGCATGGGCCCATGCTTCAACCACGATATTGCATTGCTGACAGGATTTATAATATCAAACAAGTTCGATCATTGTCTCCAATAGTTTTTATTGAGCATCATCATCAAATCAGATTAATTTTCTTTAATTTCATGCTCCACTCATGATTATCGATATGTAGTACAAAATGACTGACTGAAGATTTATTTCCTCGTATGACTGTAGACAGTCAGTGAAAAAAACAGGGACGAAGACTGTTCGTGTGCCTGCATCTATGGCTCTCGTCAAGTTTCAAAAACAATTTTGCCATTCTAGAATAAATATACCAAATTAACAATATCGGGGATGTGGACTCTTGGGAAAAAATGTCAAGTTAACAATCCCAGACATAATAGTGTCAAATGTTTTAGTAGCATACCCTACCCTGTCTCACTCTATAAAGATCTTTGACTTTAAAAATGTTCACTCTATCATGTAACAATATCAGGTTTGTGGACTTTCAGAAGGGGATATCTAGTTGACAATCCCAACTGCATGAAGCATCAGGTGTTTTCAGAGAATGAGCACTCAAAAAAAGTATTGACTTTTAAAGTTTTTACTAGATCATATTATAACAAAATTGGTTCTAAATATAAATATATCACTCCTCTTCATCATAGTTATTGAGTTTCATATCTTCTGTTAAAATCAGGTCAGAATTCTTAAACATGAATGGTGCTACTAGGAAAACATCCAACTTGTACGACTGAAAAATAATTGAAAATTTGTTTTGACAGAGGACGTACCGGTATTTCTATGAGAGAAATGTGTTTCTTTTCAATGCAAATTTACAAAAAATTGTTTTATCAATGCAAGGATATTCTAATGCTAACAGTACTATCTGGAGGCTGATCTTCCAATTCTCATAAATATAATGGAAACTTTTTTAAAATTTCACTTTGCTCGGATAATAGATTAAATAAAAACTACATGCCAAGGACAAACTGTCTTAGTGTATATAAAACAAACTTACTGCAATTGACACAACTATAATAGCTGCAATGCTTAAATATAATTTAGTGTTCATGACTTTCTGTGCTTCATTATAGGTCTCTGACCAGGCTTTGGTAGGAATCGGCCTAAAATCCATGTGTCTCTTTGATTCCACTAGGATCTCTAAATCAGATTTTCCCCCAGCGCTGCCATGTCTCAATGAGATGGTTGATACAGCTCCTGTTAACAAAATTGTAAATAAAATCAATCATGTCAATCATATAATAATTCATTGTTGATTAGAACACTTCTTCTCATGAGACAGTTATTCACTCTATCCAAATAGTTTCGTATGAGGTGGAAGGCATCAGAGGTTGTGACTAGCAAATGTTTTGTCCCAGATTCCCATTGAGCTATGGAACTTGGCAAATAGGTACTATGTCCTGAATATTCACTGTAAATTTCAGACAATGCTAAATCCTCTATCCATCTTCAATAAATTTCAAATTGTTTTGAACCAACAGGAATTTTTCTGGAAGAGTACCTCTCTGCCACATTTCACATAGATAGCTCAACAGGAAGCTGGTGAAATGTCGGAAATATAAGAGTCTCGCCCAAGATTAAACATCAAAATTCACCATTCATTACCGAGACAAACTCAGCATTACAGAAACTGCTGAGGATTGCCAAATGGTAGCATTGTGTTAGTTACATCTTTAATATTTTCCAATTCATTTCACCTGATGAAGTTGTTTCAAGAATAGCAGACAATGAAAGCTTGTAGAGTAAAATACTTTAGTCACTCTTAAACAGTGTCTTCTTTTTGTTTTTTGAGTAGCATTGAAAGCACAGGCACTTTTGGCTATCAAGCTAGGTAAACTATAATAGTAAACGTACTATGACAAATTGGCCAATAGGCCTAAATGGTGAACAATTCATAGACACCATTTCCACTTTTCTCATAAACATTTTACTTGTTTTCGTTACTGGTATATCAAAAATGTAAAACCCAGGCTTTACTTACGGGGCAGTAAAGAGGTTGCCCTTGGAATCGCTCTTGACAGCATCATATTGTCGGTAGTTTCGATCTAGATTTACGAAATATTAGAAGTGACCTTTTTTCATCTAAACTTCAGAAGGTGAGCGGAAGTCACATAGTCCAAAGAAGTCAGTCCCGAAGAAAACTATTTTGTTTCAACCTAGTATATTGAAAAAACATTATTGATGTCAAATTGAAGCAAAATAATATTTGAACACAGAGGCAAAAAGCTCTTCTCTTGTTTTTAGCAGAAAAAAAGTAAATAGTTTCGCTTGACGTTTTCTGCTGCACTCATTCTATTGTCACTTCCGGTTGAGATAGTTATGAAAATGAAAGTAGAGTGAAAAATGAATTCCTCTACAAAAAGCACATCTTTTATCCAATTTAGATATTGTAAATTGTGTAAAATAAGCCACAAATACAAAAATAAGAAACATATTTATTCTTTAAGACATCAACAAATTTTGATCAATATTCTTTCCAAATTTAGAAAAAAGGTATTAACAAAGAAGAGTCATTCTATTGCTGTCAAGATCATGTCAACAAAAAATTCCCTGTATTATCTTACTCAGGTTGCAAATTAGAAGACACTTCCAGAGCCATACAATTCCTATCCTGTGATCAATTCTTTCGACGACAAAACTTCAACCGATGTGACCTGTTTTTCACCCTTTTTGTGAATTAAAGCATTTGAAAATTTATTTCACCATCATCCCAAATTCAAGAATTATCCACCACTATTCACAGGCTTATTCTTAAAAAGATCGTAAAGGGGTTTTCTAATGTATCTAAGACATTAAAGGAGCACATTTACTATCCGTTCGACCAATTATACCTTAGTTTCAGAAACAGGAATTTTTTTAGCTTACATAATCAGTAATAGTGTTCACAGCTCATCGTCAAAATTTGAGCCTTCAAATCCATAATTATTCACGTTTGAAAGTTGAAAATTTGACTATGCCATATATTATATAGAAAACACACAGTGACAGTGAGATTTCTAGTTTGAGGTATATTTGAAGGGATTATACGATTTCATATGTTTTAGTACTTCTTGAGACTATTAAAGCACAATAAAGACTCAAATCAATCCCCGAAAATGCTGACTTTTCCTCTTTAACAACATCAGTTTGTACCATTCCAATGATCTTCTTTTCCAGATTGAAGACAGTCAACTAATTTTAAAGAATCCAGTAATTATGAAATTAGGTTGGGAATCTGATGTTACTATATGGTGTTACTTCTGTGAAGAATCAATTCAGAAACATTCTACTCTGGAAGACTGTACTGTAGTGTGTGGGTCCTTTATTAGACATTTGGCATTGTAAGTTCCTGTTTTCTGAGGGATTAATTGGTATTTCTAATGAATTATCATGTATTCTTAATCAAATCATTATGTTCTTATTGCATATAATTAAGTGTTTAACCAATCATAAATGTCCATGTATGTACTGTCTGGATAAACAAAAAAGACTTTTGGACCTTTCTTGATTGGTCATTCATTGGAATTCTGCTGGTAATTCTCTTCATATTTAGCTAATTATGAATAAATGATGGACTTGTGAGACAAACTGGTATTTTTCCAAGTCATAAGATCACCTCTACTTTCTATTCATATAAATTAGCATTTTCATTTTCATAAATGAAAATAAGGGAACCCATCTTTAAATGGAACTGATTATTTTATTTATTTCTTTTTAGGAGACAACATATTGAGAAAATGAATGAATTTTTCTGGGAGAATATTCTCAATAAAACAACTAAACTCCATTATTTTATAGATGAAGCAGATTCAATAATGTAAGTAAGCTTTATATAGAAGTAGAAAGTGAAGATTCTTGTTTGAGGTATATTTGAGGGGATTATGCGATTTTCTTCAGTTCTAGTACTTCTGATGACTATTTACATACATTCAAGACAAAAATCAACCAAAATCCATTGATGAATATTCATTGGAGAATGTTATTGATCTAACTAGTCTTGAGTCGTATCAACTGGTAAAGAAAGTATGTAGACTGTAAACCAGTATTTAGATACATACCTTTATTAAATGGTTATTATTATTTTGGTGTGTTATATTCATTCAAGATTCAAGAATAAAGTGGAAAAAGCTGCTCAGAAATTCTGTGAAAAACAAAAACAGGACATTTCAAAGGTAAGTCTTAGTTACATTCATACAAAAAATAGGCTTTGTTTTCACGTGTGTAGTATTAATATATTTTATATTTTTTATTACCACGAAATAAATACATTCCTGACATCTAAAATAAATGTAATTTATAAAAGAAAAGTCACTATAAAGAGAAATATGAATGATTGAAGCCTTTTTCATGAGAAAAAAAAACAAATTTCGACAAAGGAGCATCTGGTGTTCCTAAAAGGTCTATTTCAAAATATCTTGTATATGTTTCAGAATGCTGAGAAAATAAAAACTGCAGCCCTAAATCATCAGCTGATTTCTCAGTACCATTTACAACAAAAAAAACAACATCAAAACTTAACAACAAACCAGAATTCTACAACAAACCAGAATTCTACAACAAACCAGAATCCTACAACAAACCAGGGGTTTACAAACCAGAGTTGTGCAACAAGCCACAATTTTACAGCTAGCCAAAACCTCACAATAAACCAGACGCCAACATTTCAGAGATTGGAGGTGTGTGGTGGTGCCTAATTTGTATCCATAATGAAATTTGCTTTTATTTTTATATTGCATCTACCCTGATATTTTTTCTCTAGGTTATATTTGTATTTTAAGAAATATCAATTTCTACTTTGAACTTGTTGTTTGAGTTGCTAACTTAAATTGTCACATCTAATTCACTTCTAAAAATCTGAGTTGGTCAATCAGAGTTCTTAGTATTGAACTTAGTAGGTGGCTAACATGAAAATGCGTTTAGTCGATCGGGTCGGACAATAAACAGAGTCCCCTTTTGTTACAGTCTGTTAAAAAAACTCTAGACAGTTGAAAATAGAGTAGGCTAAATTTCTCTCATTGCACACTGCATGGCGTTACCCATCTTCATTAGCCCAATAAGGTGCAGAAGAGTAGGAGGTAAAATTGTTATGATAATCTTAAAGTTACCAGTTCCAACAGCAAGTCCTTGATATTTCTTACTATACAGCCCAAATGTTTCAACTCTTATTTTTTCCTGAATCTTTATTAGCCAAATAGACAAATAGATTCATTGATAGAGGAAGCACCACAGATTTCTACTGCCAGGAAAACTAGCTTTGGTCTCACAGTTATTCCAAAAGTCAAGGTAAAGTCAAATTTATTGCCTAAATACAGTTTATATCTTTAAGCAAAAGGACTGCAACTTGTTAACAAAATGACTAGATGCGCCAACTTACCCTCCTAAAAATGAAGACGGAATGACCCAGTTTTGAAATAGCAAATGAGCAGACCCAAGTATGAATGGAGCTATAAGAGGCACAGATTCTAGGTTCCGATGTATATTTGTAGGGAGGTAAAGAGAAGGGCAATATTCATACTGGAGCTGTTCCTCCATGGCTACAACCGGACAACACCAGCAGTCAGACGTCAACTATAGGACCATCGCTACATGACTATCAAGCACATTGTAAGTTTTATAAATTTCCTTTTGATCTTCAGAACAATTATAATGCCAACATAAAATTTTGTGTATAGTTTTGTGTTAGTTCCTATGTCTATCGGTCTTTTGGTTCACAGTTTTGTATCTTAAAATTACCAGTCGTCATTTTAACATTCAAACGCGGATAATTCTGGACACACATGGATTTGAAGGCTAAAATTTAAAGGCTAAAATTTCAAGGGTGAACACTATTACTGATTGGCTTAGCTAAAAATCCCTTTTTTGAGACTGAAGTATGGTTGGTAAAAAAAAATGGTGCAGCTGTCCCTTTAAAAGCATTTGTTTAAAGAGTCCATACTGCCATTAAGCAAGAGGAATTTTTTTTTGTGGCAGTGGCCCTTTAAATTAATATAGCAAGAGACTCTAGATAAGAGTTTTAGTCCAGGACTAATTAAAAACTATGGGAACTAGTCTTGATTACCAATTTGATCTCAGACTGAAGATTTAAACCATGACCAAGGGATGAAAAGTGTTCACTCTATTGTCAGTCTTTTGTTTTAAAACTGTGGGTATGGAGACCAAGATATTTTAACCAACCCCAGCTTGAGGGTGAGTAGAATTCAGGGGTTATAGTCAGGTTGAAAACAACAGTGTACAGCCTCATTCAGTCAGCAGATGTCCCAGGGTTCACTTCTTGTTGCTATGAAAGCAGAAACAAATTTTGTGCTGAATTCAACCCCATTTTGAAATTAACAAGAAGAGGTAAGTACTCTCCTGTTTTTGAACTTTTTTGTGTGTTTTGTGGTTCAATTTCTATGGAACATAGTAGCTGGTGTATTGTAGATTATTTGAGAGAATTATTTTTGGGTGGCTTTCTACTGCCTGAAATTATTTTGATCTTGAACTCAACAATTTGAAAATATTTGATACAAGGTGTTTCTTGAGAAGATTTTGATACTACACAAGTCACTGTCCATCATTTGGGACTTCTTTCAAACATGACTGGCAAATAGTTCAAATCAACAACATTGGGCTCTAGTCTCTACAGCCCAATCATCCATCTAGTTTTTTAGACTTCCATATCAACAACATAGAGCTCCAGCCAGACATGACTGTTAAGATATCAACTGTCTGGTTTCTGCTTCCTGCCCAATGCTATGCACATCCCTAGATATTATTTATGTAGATAGAATACACTCATTGTATAACCTTATTTCTTATTTGTAGGTTTCTGTTGATTGGCTGATTTGAAGATTTGTAATTATGTATCTTCCTTATATCATATTACTTGGTAAGTATTTGTTATATTAGATTTAGAGTTGAATTTAAAATGTTTAATTGTCATTTAAGTAAACAATATTGATAATGAAAATACTAGTAGGTATAGAATAGTTTGAATTAAGAATATGAATTGGGTTGTATTAGGTTTGATTGAGAATAGAATAGACTGAATTAAGAATATGAATTGGGTTGTGTTAGGTTAGATTGAGAATAGAATAGTTTGAATTAAGAATAGGGGTTAAGTTGTATTAGGTTAGATTCAGAATAAAGTAGACTGAAAGTAGACTGAATTAAGAATAAGGGTTAAGTTGTATTAGGTTAGATTGACAATAACCTAGGCTGAATTAAGAATATGAATTAAGTTGTATTAGGTTAGATTGAGAATAAAGTAGGTTGAATTAAGAACTGGAATTAAGTTGTATTAGGTTAGATTGAGAATAGAATAGACTTAATTAAGAATAGGAATTAAGTTGTATTAGATTAGATTGAGAATAAAGTAGACTGAATTAAGAATAGGAATTTTGTTGTATTTAGTAGGATTGGCAATAGAATAGTTTGAATTAAGAATAGGAATTAAGATGTATTAGGTTAGATTGAGAGTGAATTAAGAATAGGAATTAAGATGTATTAGGTTAGATTGAGAGTGAATTAAGAACATTGCTGAATTGAAATAAATAAAACCATGTACTAATGATCCTAACCATAAAATGGCACCCGAAATCCAAACATATTGACGAAACATTGGTAGCAGTTAATGAACTTTTGACATGAGGAAGTATATCAATTATAATTGAGTAAGTTATAGAATTACAGAGTATCAGTAGGATTTCGGAAACAAGTCCAGGCTTATGCTAATCTGTCACCAAAAATCAAACACCAAAATACAGACAATATAAATAAATAGATAAATAAATAAATAAATAAATGAATGAAAAAAATAAATAAAAAATAAATAAATAAATAGATAAATAGATAAATAAATAACAAATAAATAGATAAATAAATAGACAAATGAATAAATGAATAAAAAAAATAAAGAAAAAAATTAAATAAACAAATAAATAAATAAGATAAATCAATAAATTGATAAATAAATTAGCTTTTCTATATATGAAATGATTTAACAATAAAATAGTTTAATAGATATCACTATGAATTATGAATATTAACATGTAAAAGAAAATGTGCAAGTCAGAGTACAATTAAAAATTGTTGATTCACCTATTGGCTATTTTCACTTCCTGATGAACTTAGATAAAAACACATTATACTTTATTTATCTGATACTTTCTCTCTATCCAACTGCTTGAAGAGAAAAAAATGACTTCTTTAGGCTCTGAAGGAAGTCTGGCCAAATTTTCTCTTCCCAATTCAAGTCTTATTCCCCACTGTGGTCTATAATCTGATGAACTGTGTATCATATGAGATGTAAAGAATGAATTTTTTTAAGGAAATGTCAAAGATAATTCTTATTTTTTGTGGCTGGCATCTGTGGCTGAAAAATCAGGACGTTTTCAAATTTAAAACTAAATTTAATCAGATTTTGGCATTTGTTTAAAGCTCATCAGATTTATAAAGGTTGATTTCATGTGGACAATGTTTTAGTCACTGAACATGAAGTCAACTTCAAGTTTGTGTGTATTTTGAAAGTCTTCAGGAAGTTTTCTGTGTAAAAACAACTTCTTTAGGATAAGGGGAGTTGTCAAAAATTGTAGGTAACGGCACTTATTGTAAAGTCTTAGTTTAGGAAACCCCCCTCTTAAAGTAGGGATGAATTGGGTATTGCCACTTACTAAATTGGATGGTCGGTCAGCGTGGGCACTCTGGAAGTGGTCATGTGGTAGGTGAGGGGACCACTTTGCTGCATGATCCTCGAAGGAGTGTCATGAGTCCTACGGCAAATATTAGAATGACAAAATTGGATGGTCGGTCAGCGTGGGCACTCTGGAAGTGGTCATGTAGTAGGTGAGGGGACCACTTTGCTGCATGATCCTCGAAGGAGTGTCATGAGTCCTACGGCAAATATTGAACTATAAATCTGACATTATTCATTTTATCAATTCCTTGAGAGGGTTCAAATCAAGACTGGAGTGTCATGGTTAGGTTTGTCCCTGTGGATTTTATCAGACGGTAGATATTCCAGTGTCTAATCTTAGCGAAAGCCAAGCTGTATGGTTGAGGACGGGGGCTATATTCTACCTGAGATATTATTCACTGTTTTTATTTTCTGTATTATTTTTATCCCCAGTATTATTTTTATTCCTATGACTAATAGATTGAAAATAGATTGAAAATAGATTGAAAATAGATTGAAAATAGATTGAAAATAAGCTGAATTAAACATGGAAACATTTTCTAAACATTGAAAATAGGTTGAATTAAGAATTTGAATAATTAAACATTGAGAACATGAATGATAAAATATTGAAAATATGCATAATAAAATATTGAGAACATGAATAATAAAATATTGCTAATTCAAATGATAAATATTGCTAATTTGAACAATTAAAATTAATAATTTGAATAATGAAATATTACTAATTTGAATGATAAAATATTGCTAATTTGAATAATAAATATTGCTAATTTGAATAATTAAAATTGCTAATTTGAATAATAAAATATTTCTAATTTGAATAATACAATATTACTAATTTGAATAATAAAATATTGCTAATTTGAATAATGAAATATTGCTAATTTGAATAATGAAATATTGCTAATTTGAATAATGAAATATTGCTAATTTGAATACTAAATATTGCTTATTTGAATATATGAATAATAAAACATTGAAAATAAGCGGAGTAAACATTCACAATATGAATAATGAAGCATTTAGAATTTGAATAATGAAGAATTGAAAATTTGAATAACTAATAATTGATATTTAGAATAATTAAGAATTGATAATTTTAGATAATTAAGCATTGAGAATTTGAATTAAGAATTGATAATTTTAGATAATTAAGCATTGAGAATTTGAATTAAGCATTGAGAATTTGAATTAAGCATTAAGAATTTGAATTAAGCATTGAGAATTTGAATTAGGCATGAGAA